GAAAACTTAACATTGAAAATCGTGAATTAATTCAAAGTCATTGGATCAAACTGATATGTACTGATAGTAATGCAACTTCATAGTAAATATTAATGATCTATCCCCAGTAGTTTCTATCAAATTAACTTAAGTAGAAAACTTAACAATTGTTGACACCGGAGCTGGAGATGTCGCCGTCGTTGGAAAAGCAATCCCTATCTCTCCCTTTCTGTGACTTTCGTCACCGGCGAGACAAAAATACATGTTTTCCTAAAGTCAGAGAAGCATTAGTATCATCAAAAATAAACGAATCCACAGTAATTGGTAATGGAAGAGAAATCAAAATGAACACTCAGAATGGTGTAACTACAAAGGTCACATAAAATCAGGGGTTACAAATAATTTTTGGACATTTTGTCCCTAAAATTAAGGAAAATTGGATACTATTTTGCAAGAATTAGGTTAGGAAATCGAAGGAGAAACTTTATGTCTATAGGAATTCTGCCTTTTTTTGGATATAGTGAGGGTACCTAAAAATGTCAACCACTACATTGTACTTGTATGAAACAAACACTTGATCACTTCTAAACAACGTTTAATAATTCAAACCTTTTAAAGGACCTATTATTCAGTTTACATTATTGCCATTAACCTTGAAAAAAACTTGTATCTATTTCAAGATTACAATAGATATAACTACAATTTATAAGAGTGTCTATATAACTATTGGCATGAATCCAGAATTATATATATATATATAGTAATAATTTAAATTTCAATCCACATTTGAATGGATTATTATTAGAAAAGGATTTTAATACCATTTGACCTATCTGGTAATCAGGTATTTTAAAAGTGTGGTATTATACATGTACATGTGTAAGTCTTCTTACCTAAACCTCAAAGTATGTACTTTTCAAACACCTGGAAACATGTGACCACTCTTTTAAATATAAATACAAAAGTAAATAAAGAGTCATGAATCTGTTTCATTTTACCTTTCTGAATTGGATTAAGCAAAACGACATGAGGCCATTCAAAAATTATGTGTCTTAAAGTTTTAAGGTTTCCCAACTGACCCTACTTTTGAGCTCCGACCAAACATTTCTATGAGGATTTGCAATTGTTCACCATAAACTTTTCTGCAACAAATAAAAGTTGTAGTTGTTGCTAACTCTTTTGTTCAAAGTACACAATGAAGTATCATGAGTATGACACAGACATAACAGAATTGATAAAAAAAAAATTATCGCCTCTTTGAACATTGACAGATTATAAATGGAAAATTTCTGGTAAAATTAGTTGATAACACTGGAACCAAACCTGGTGATCAAGACTCAATATACTTTTGGCCTAGTGACCAAATCCTGACCTACAAGTAGCCAACCTACATGTTCTTGTATATCTTTGGCAAGAAATTCTATACACATCATTCTTTCTGTATTGGTGGATGCAGATGAGACATCAATAAAGTACTAAATACATGCATGTATAACCAAAATATCAAGCACCAGCTCTTAAATTGCTATCTTTCAGCCTAAAAATCATTAGGACGTCTTTGGGTATGAACTTCAAATTGAAAAGCTCACTCTTTACCACAGTTTACAGCAGATTCAACAATATCAAGATGAAATCCACCCCCTCTCCCAAACTCAGAGGAACTCTTGACACTCACTACATTACAGTTCCAGTTTGTTGTATTATGATTACATATTTCTTGTTTGAATTGTTTTACATTGTCATGTTAGGGCCTTTTAAACATGTACATGAAGCTGGTTATGTGGTATGGGTTTTACTCATTGTTAAAGGACGTAAGATGATCTATTGTTGCTTACTACATCATGTATGTCATTTGGTGGATAGTTGTGTCATTGGCAATCATACCACATCTTCTTATATTTATACAGACTTTTTAAAAACAAATTACACATAAAATAAAGACATGTGGTACAATGTATGATTGCTAATGAGACAACTATCTACCAGAGACCAAATGATGTACATGTAATGATGTAGATGTTATCAACTATAGGTCACTGTATGGCCTTCAACAATGAGCAAAACCAATACCACATAGCAAGCTATAAAATGCCCTGACATAAGAACATGTAAAATAACTCAAACGAGAAAACCAACTGCCTGATATATGTACAAAAGAAAATAAAAATATAATCTATGCAATAACAAATGACAATTGCAACCACTGAATTACAGGCTCCCGACTACTTCAGTCAATGCCAAACATCACTGGGTCCGAGCCCCTGACAGACAAATTTGATGTCAGACCGCCAAATCGTTTGCTTGTATCAGTCCGGATCAGGGACATTATAAGAAAATATGTGATGCCACAGCTTACAGTTGTACTTAATTTATTTCATTACATATTTATTTGAAATTCACCTGTTTACTTCATTAAAAAGACTTTACAATTGTAAATTCCTTTTTCATTGACTAATATTGCAATCGCCATATCTGATGTACAGCAATGGTGGTGACTAAAATACTAATATGGTAAAATTCTTAGTTGCCGGGTAAGGTCATTCCATTGTACATGCATATATAAAAATAAGAAGATGTGGTATGATTGCCAATGAGACAACTCTCCAAAAGAGACCAAATGACACAGAAATTAACAACTAAAGGTCACTGTACGGCCTTCAACAATGAGCAAAATCTGATTTCACTGGCAATTGGTTTTTTTTTTCATTGTACATCCGATTTTGAGTCAAATATGGTGGTAGCAAAATCTAACTAAATAAAGAAAATTCTAAGGTTATTTTAAAGTCATACATGTACTAAGTGAATATACTGAAGCAGTGGATAGAGATGAATATACATTTTTAACAATTGAACAAGTGCTTTACAATTCAAGGCTATCAAATATGAATCCTTTTGCTGGAAAAATCTCTGAAAGAGAAGAGAATCTAACAAGTTAGCCATAAAATTCTTTTTTTTCATTTGGACAAAAATGTTGTTGGTCAGAGACATATTGCACGACAGTTAGACAGAAACTCAGAATGTTTGGCACAGACTCTTAACTTGGGACAGACGAATACAAAATGTAGTGAGGTTAAGCATGTTAGTCAAACTTACCACTATGACCTACATTGTAGTGCAATTTGTAATTACAGAGTAAAATTATAAGGACACTGTAGCTTCCTCGAGTACAAATAAATCCAAGGTTTAATGGGATGAAAATTCCTACATTCTATGTCCCCTTCAAAATGTTAGTCTGTGATCCGCATCAAAAGTCAAATACAGGCTACTCTCAGTCCTCAAAATTTCCAAAATTTCCAATTCCCTATTTCCATTCTAAATTTTATTATAACGACAAAAAAATTTTATTCTTAATCCAAATTTAGAAAGAAAAAAATTCATAAATTATGACTTACACCATACAATTTTATGCCATTTTGTACATTGATCTAGAGAAGTTACAGCTTACATTGTAACATGTATATACATCCAGTCTATAATTTCATTAGTATACAGGTCTTAAAGATGCCAAATGTACACAAGAATAAAATCTAATATACTTTATTATACATGTATGTTTTAGAGAGAAACCTTACCAACTGACCTAACATTTTTTCAGGTTGTATAAAAAGCAAAAATATATGTTGAAGAGTTGTAGATACAATAGTACATTTGTATATATATCCTTGAATAAACCTAAGGCCCAAAAATAATTCATAAAAAAAAAACAGGAGGTGCACACCACCATTATATGGTTATTACTCTGAAAAAGTATCAATAATATTCTTAGGAGGGGTAAGAGAGTTGAGGATACAAAATGAGCGCTCCTAGAAGAAGGCTTGAGAAAGTCCATTTTTGCATTAAGCATGTTAAGTGAGGATTGTAAGAATTTTTTTTCAAAATTAAGAGGTCTAAGAGCAGAAACAGATGCAAATGTAAACTGGAGTGTGTGGATATGGAAAAGCATGTGTCATGCCTAATTAAACCCAATCAATCATCACTATGAAGAAATGAAATAGGAGGTACAGAAGTACATCATGTGAGTAAGATTTTGTTAAAAAAATATACAAAATTCTGACAAGCACTTAGCAGCAAATACCAAAAGAGGACGAAAGGAGAAATCAACGGAAAACCCCATTACATAAGATATACATACATTTAATGAAACAGTAGTTAAAAGCAAGTCATGGACAGTATGATATTGTTACTGTTTAATGGTCATCTAAAAGTTTCCAATCTCTTTTTTGGGGGGACCACTTACTCCAATGGGATATACATGTAAAAATGCATTTAAGAAACAAATTTACTGTGAAAAAAAACTATTTTTAAAACCAAATTGTTTCTGGGATTTTCCATTGGAAAATAGATATCAATCTGGAACAAGTCATTTGATTTCTCAAAAAGTCAATAAATAAGAGTTGCAGTTTACTTACTTTTGCTATAATCATGATAATTCAAAATTGAGATTTTTTTTATCACAGCAGATTTATAGCAATTTTAACCATTATGATTATCCCAAACAATTAATTATTACTCATTTTGATAAATTTGGTCCCATTCTGTCTTTGATGTACAAATGTACAAATGTGCAAATGAATATTTACCACCAGCATATTAAAGTTAGTTCAATATACATTATGGACATTTTTAAATAACTGCATTGTACATGACATTTTTTAATTCATTTTACAGCATTAACATCAATATAAATCAAGGACAAAAAATACCTGTATGCAACAAAATATTTAAACTGAATTTAGAATAACACAGTACATGTATAACATTATATCTTAGATGGTTGGATAATGTTCAGAGTATCCAACATCTAATTACTTATCTGACATAGGACACACCCCCTTGTTCAATACACATGTATATTATCAATTAACAAATTACATAATAATAATTAGTCTAATTACCGACCAATTATATGCTTCATTTCACAGGTGGACATTAAGTTGTAAAATGTAAACAATGCGCAGTCTCCCACGTGTTTTTGCTAATAATTAAAAATAAACTTTACAAATGTAAACAATGATACAAACCTTCCAGCCAGCTGAACTGGTGCTGTCACCTTTGTCTTTAAAATATGGAACATTCTGCACCATCCAGTCATAAATCTGAGACAAGGTCAACCTCTGCTCTGGTGAATTTTGAATAGCTTTAGTAATTAGGTCAGCGTAAGAGAGATTTCCCCATGCATTGCGACGTGAAGATGATTTTGTTTTTAGACCTAAATTCTCCGGTTTCTGTGGATCCCCCGATACGGATTCGTCCGACACAGGTGAACACTGAGCATCGGCAATAACCTCCCGTGGCCTGCATGGCCATGTATTACTCCTAACTCTAGTTTGTGGCTCAAAGTTTGGATCTATATCCACAGGTTGAACGTCCATTTTGGATATCAAACGAGCTAAGTTAAAGGCACTGACGTCTTACACAGATTTATAATAATTATCCTAAAATTTTAGTGATCATGCAATAATCCAATTAAAATTTACATTCCAATGTTTACGATTTACTATTGTTTTCATCGTGACACCAAATACACACATGTAAACATTCCAATACAAAATCAAAACATAGTCAGGTAGAATTTGAGCTACTTGATGCACACAGCACCGAAGGGGCACCTGCTGACGTATTTGTTGTCACGGGTGATTTGCATATTATGCGCAGTGTCAGTACGGCGCATACTAACACAACTTCCGTGTATTGCCTGAATGGGGCCTTATTAGGGAAATATTGAAAAATAGTTAGGAATTGTGTATTCGAGATTTCCTAGGTTTATATAAATCAAATCTACGTTTTCTTAATTGGTGTATTAGGAATTTCACCAAGACATACAACTCGAATAAGAATATTAATTTGCATATGATATGTTGAAATGAAATAAATTCTATTCCAAACCCTAATTCAGGCCAAACCAATTTAATGTTGATTCAAGACTACACGAGGAGGTGCTAAATATCGAGCAAAATATTGATTTTTATTGTATTTATTTTCATATTTTGACGCAACTGGTGTTATATAGTAGCTCAGCGTGAATGCGTTTTTTTTTTTTAGTGACCATATTGAATGATGAGTCGACACAAAAACTATTTATTTAAAACAGTACAAATATGCAATTAAATTTTCAAACAATATTTGTTTGTATAGATTAACATATTTTTGGTCTTCGCTCTTACTTTTAAAGGTGAATACAAAAAAAAATGCCTATACGGGTTAGATTATGTGGCCTGGGATCATCCTGGCCAACCTCCTCTTTGCGTCAGTCTAGCTACTGTTAAGAATTGAATATTAAGGATATGTGACCTAACCGGAACAGTCTTTCTATGATGGAGCGCAAGTCGGGTCGACGATACAGCCGGACAGACATATGATATGGAGACTGACGCGTCTGATCCTTGCTGAAAGGGAAGTGAACTGTCGATGACAGAACGGCCTTTACCAAAGTATGACTGCTACATACAATCCTGTGCAGCAATAATTAAAATAAAATGAGACCATTAAAGTGAATTGATACCGTTTAAAATAAATTCTGCAATTTAGGAGTTCGGAAAATATCGCCTTTTGTTTATCCACTGTTCGAAATTTTGAAAAAGCAGGGTTGGGATATCAGGGGAAAAACAAGAATGTGTCCATATTACACCCATGCACCACTCGCACAATCATTTTCTATGTTCAGTGGACCATGAAATTGGGGCCAACACTCTAATTTGGCATTCATATCATAGGGAACATGTGTACTAAGTTTCAAGTTGATTGGACTTCAACTTCATCAAAATCTACCTGGACCAAAAACTTAACCTGAAGCGGGACAGATGGACGGACGAACGAACGGACGGACGCACAGGCCGGAAAACATTATGCCCTTAGGTGGGGCATAATAACCGCGCAACCTGTTCATGTGCTTGTCCTAAGACACGAGCCTCGCCAGCAGATTATTTTATGTTTAATTTTCGTCATTTTGAGACTTTAACCTTTGATGGTATATTTTTGTAAAAATCTATTTCGACTTTTTTATAGACTCTTATAAAGCTTGACACATATAATATTGTGTAGACATCTATCTATTGTTGAAGTCCGTATTTATATGTTCCTATGTATGTCTTGCTTTGTTTTTCATGCCATTGGGTTGCTGTCTCATTGACGTATACTCTTTGACACATTCCCCATTTCCATTCTCAATTTTATCACATCTCCTTTTATTCACATCAATGTAGTTTACTAGGAGTATACAGCGTTTTAATATATTTTTTTAAACATAGGCAGAGCTATGATATTGTTCTGCATATATCGGAAGGAATTCAATCTGATTAAAATTCCTGGATCTGCGTGTGCTCGTATCATATGAGGATAACAAAATCAGAGATCTATATTTTAATTAGATTGGGATGGAATTATAACTTCCTGAATCATTATTTTTATATTAAAAAAAAATAGGGCGCTATATACAATGTGTTTATCGTTTTTAGCAGTTATATCCGATTGGCACACTGCTTAACCGTAACCAGATAGGACCAGCCACGTTAACCCGAGTACTATGAGTCCGTGCCATTTTGTTATGAATGGGATTGGGATTCCATGAGGCGATTTTCTGCAGTTCATGGACAATTCGATGCAATTCATGATATCACACAGATTTTGTTATATTTTTTTCTTTGTAACATTTTATTCGCCTAATAAAAACAAATGCATACTCAACAATTTTCATATGTTTGCGATTCATCACCAAAACACCGGGGTGATTTCAGGCACTCTGGAATGGTTAACAGATCCTTCTCTACATTGACTGTTTTTTACAATTCTGTATTCAATAGCCAAGTATTCTTAAATATGGTAGAGTATATAAAAACAGTTGTGCTATTTCTAGCTTAAGCCTACAACTATAAAGAAAGCAACCTTAAATAACCGTAGATGATATGAGACTATTTAATGCTCCAAGATAGAGTTCGTGTTGCTCAGACTTTAGTTTTAAATGTTGTGTTTTGAAGACTTGTTTGTTTTGGGGTCGTTTCTCGTATTTTTGCCATGTCGTTGTCAGTTTGTTTATACCTGTGAGTTCGAATATCCTTTTGGTATCTTACGCCTCTCTTTTTCAATAAAAATCAAAATATAACTCTTAAGAGACTTGGTTACAAGGAAAATTAAAATGTTTATTAAAGGCATATGAGTTAATCTCAGTAGCCGATTAACGAGACCTGTCGTGTTTTGGCTCTTCAACTAAAATGCATGTCTGACCCTATACATAATACCTTTGTATTCCATTGACAGTTAAAATTATCAAGATTTCTACCAGTCAACCCACTATTCGTAATAATGTTATCGTGTTACTTTCCAACATACTGTAAAAAAAATCAATAAATCTAAATGTGTATGATTATATTCAAATTAAAATTTTGTATGATATTTATTTTTCACTAATAAAAACTTTTCAATTGAAAATTTCCGTTCTAGTGTCTTCATTTTAATAGTGAATTCACGAGAAGAATTAAATGCAGGGTATCTATTAAAAATATACACCATTTTGGAATTTTAACTTGATGATAAAAAGAACAAGCAGCTTTTATTGTTTTGATTTCAGTACGATATGGTTTGTTATGCTTTTATTATAATTTCTGACGTATACAAATTGTATTAACTTTATTAGATATGATATTTCTATCAGTAACACCATTGCAATATTTCGGCACTAGATGTGTTGACCACATGCTTTCTTTGGTTGGCTTGTAATGTTGTGTTGTTACGCTACTGTTCCTAGATAGGGGAGGTAATTCAGTGCATGGTTGTTGTTGGTTCATGTTTGTCATAAAAAATATTTCATTTTTGTGTTTTCGTTAATTTTTTTGTTATCATCTAGGCCGTTAAAATCGTTTTCCCGAATGAATTGTTTCATTTTATCAAGTCGAACCTTTATAGCTGACTATATATGGTATGGGTTTTGCTCATTGTTGAAGGCCGTATGGTGACCTATGATTGCTTACATCCACGTCATATCAGTGTCCTGCTGACCGCCTAGATGATTTCATTGGTCACATCACGTGATAGACATTTTTTAAGAATAGCGTAAACAAACAGATATTGACTGGGTTCTCGTATAAGATCTGTTTTTGTTTGACCCTTAGTTTTATAAAATGGGCCGCAAGTATTTCTTGAACCGAGCCAATAATTGTTTAATGAATGTTAAGCAGGATAATTCACAGGGATAGTTAGGAGGAGCTAAATGGAGCTTCATTAAAAAAGTTTAAATGTTGCAAATCACAAGCACTTTAAAAACACGTAAACAAAAATAGATAAACGAGTACGGTCCCATCCAGCGCTCATGATATACTGCTGTTTAATAATATATTTTTATGTCAGAAAAAAAGTCATCAAGGTATAGAGAAATTTTGTTTTTTTTTAAGTTAAAAAGTATGTACTGGAATTTTGAAATTGAAACGTTTTTTGTAGCACTTATACATACAAGAAACCACATGACATTAATATTCCAAATGATAATTGAAGACACCGCTGCTGGTGGACTTTTCGCCCCAGAGGATATAACAAGTCAGGAAGTCAACACTCCTGTGCTGACAGGAAATATCATTTAAACGGTCTTTTTGTTGGTAAATTTAATACATTCATAAAATTGTAAAATCATTCGAACACTTACGTTTTTCTAACCCAAGCCATAGAGGGACTTAACCGGATTTGGCACAGCGCTTTCGAAATTTAGTTTTTTTAATGATCTTAAAGTTCGTAGTAATTGATTTGATTCGAGCGTCGCTGATGAGTCATATAAAGACGAATCGAGTATCTGTCTTAACAAATTATAAGGTATCTTTCATGAGTTTTCCAGTATTTCGTTCTCTTCTTCAACAACTATATTAACCAAATGATACCGATAGGGACTTTAGTCACCGACCACTTGGGACAAACCATTTTTTTGACCTTATATTGATAAACAATTAATAATATTCAATAACATACAGTAACAAGATTTTTTTTCAAACTTAATGTTTCTTTTTTTTTCAATTGAAACAAACCTTTTTTCACTTCCTTTCAGAAACAAATTATTTCCTTTCAAAAATTTTAGAACCAACCAATTTATAGTAAAAACCTAAAAACAATCCATGCTCCCACAGAAGATGAATGGTTGATGTCTTATATAGCCGATCAAAAGTGCTCAGTATATGGTAAGAGAATCTAATTAAAATATAGATCTCTGATTTCGTTATCCTCATATAATACAGGCACGCAAATTGTGATAGATCTGAACTTTAATCAGATTTGTTTGTAAGACGAAAGACATTTTATCTGTACGAGAAAAAAAAATCTTCAAATACCATGTACAGAGATGCCTCTCTTGCACCAAAAAAAAGTAAGCAATTCTTGTATACGCGCGAAAGCCTTTGTGCACAGGTTTAAAGTGGTCCACAGACGATAATAGTATCTCTTTATGTGTACACGAACTTATAAAAGTTGTATAGACAAGTGTGTTTCCTCTTTGGAACCGAAAATGTTCCAGTAAAGATGACAAAACGATTTGATTGATTGATTGATTAATTGATAGACAAGTGTGTTTTTCTCTTTGGAACTGAAAGTGTCCAAGTAAGGGAGATAAAACGATTTGATTGCTTGTTTGCTTGCTTGCTTGCT